TTTGTCGAGCGCAGAGCACGTTAGTTGTGCGCCTCGCTTACACACTGCTTAATACACACATTATGTACAGCAATACGCAAATATTTTTACATGTGAAAAAGAATGAAAATAATAAGGATATATAGGATATAATAAGGACATTTATATAGGATATAAATATATAGGATTAAAATATTACAAAACATATTATTTTCTAGCCTACATAAATATAAAAACCATACTTTCATACCTTCTTCATCTCAGGGGCTTTTTCAGTTCATTCATACTGCATCATTATTAGCATTATTATTTATTATATCCATATTTATATTTTATTTATTAAAAACAAGCTTAGATTTGCCCACTAGTCAGGTTTTCGACCATATGGGGCACAGCATGTGTATTTGGATATAACTCAGGTTTTTGACCACACTTTGTTATTATTGTTCATTTATTCGTTTGCTGAAAATTAGAACTGAATTTAGAAATAGTTTTAAAGCAACTCTTTGCGCTTAACAAACGAAATAATTATTTATAAGCTAATTGATATCTGTGCGTACAAGGTTTTCCTATCCACAAGAGCAAAAGTGAAACTAGATTATGAGAGGCCTTCTCTCTCATTCTCGCGCTGCAGATGCTCTGTTTAACTGTTTTTCTTGCTAGTGAAACGCTCAGTCGTCATGTAAATAGCAAATGTGCCATGGCGCGACGCAACTGACTCTTAAAGGGAATGGGAGATGAGACTCTGATTGGTTTATTCTCAAAACACACCCATAACTCATAAAGAGTATAAGCTCAATCCTGTTAGTCCATGCACTGTGGCGCAGAGCATATTTTTCCTTCCTTAAAAAACCAAAAGTGGATTCGGACACACCCTTAATGCTTTTGTGCTCTGCGCTTTAGACTTTGCGCATAGATTGCTAAAATAGGGCCCAATGATTTGGAATTTAGTACTATATCTTTTGATTATGAAAATTGCCACCATCTCTCAAAAGTCTTATGTTTCAATATTTTTGCAGCTGAAATTTTCAATACTCAATGTAAAATCATGATTTCTAAAAACTGCAAAAAATATTATTTAATAATTATTATTTAATAATATTATTTTAAAACTAATGTTATGATATTGAAGTATTTTATAATTCTTATAATTTTATTTAATACGTATAATAATTATTATAATACAAAAAAATAATAGCAATACTTATTATTAGTATTATAGTTTCCAGTATTATTGTTGTTATTAATATTAGTAGTGTTGTATTTTTTTTTTTTTGTACACACATTTCTGTCTTTCATATAAAACGAAATAATTCATCAGTGTTTTAATTAGGCGTGATAATAATTAAAAAATGCTCAGAATAACACATAACTATATAGTTTTTAACACATATGGTGATTTGAGGCCAACTGACCTGAATTCTCCCTAATGTAATAATCCTACAGCATAAGATTGACCAACCACTTTAGTCTGTTTGCCTAAAACATTTTACACTGTCCAGATTCTTTCACTAAGTCTCCTGCTGTCATTTACGTAAATAAGTAGTTTGTTCGCTTGATTTGGTAGCAGCTTTATGTGAGAAAGTGAGCAACCTACTACGGTTGCGCCCAGGTGTGTTAGGTTTGCGAAACGTATCCCATATTGCTTTCTTTCACCCCATTGGCCGACGATTGATTGGAAACCCTCCGCTTCCTCTGCTAGTTCCTCCAAGTAAATAAATCTTCATTTACATAAACAGATCTGTCCTGCAGTCAATCTGGGCGTCGGGGGGAGGAGTATTATTTTCAGGCCTGACTTTTCGTCGGGGGAGGGAGACGCTCTCTTGCCCCTTTATTGTGTTGTGAAAGTCCATTTCAAGGATGTCACCCCCAGCCCATTAGTTTGGATAATGAGCCCTATAAAGCACATTTATAACTCTTGACATAACAAGCCAACAGATTCTCCTCTGTTCCTCCTTTTTCTCTCTCGCTCGCTCGCTTTCTTTCTTTCTTTTTTCTTTTTTTTTCTCGGTTGTAGAGATTAAAGGAGGAAAGGTCAAACATGTGCCCATAAGCCAGTGGTTTACAACTGGTTTTGCTCCAGAAGTTAGATTTTGCATTTCGATATCAAGTGATGAACTGACATGCTACCAGAATGATCAATCAATCATCAATCAAATGCGAAAACTTTCTATTGAAATTTTCTATTGAATTTATTAATGTTTTCATGAACCACATACACTCACCGGCCATTTTATTAGGGACACCTTACTAGTGCCAGGTTGGACCACCATTTGACCTCAGAACTGCCTTAATCCCACACCATTAAGGCTGATTTATACTTCTGCGTCAAACGCCGGTGTATGCTACGGCCCTGACGTATAGCCCTTCGCAGTGGCCGTCGGTGTTGCTGACGTGCACCTCTCAAAAATTGTAACTACACGTCGCGTAGCGCAAGCTCTGTGGTCGGCTTGGTAGCGCTGCCGAGTCTGGGCGGGATCGAGAGCCGCGCGAATGGTGCGAGCTGGACGCGAGCCCAATGGAGCGATTATTTACAAGTGTGGAGTCCTGTGAAGGAGCTCCTGATGGAAAGTTTTGTTTTGTTTTTACCTCATAGTTAAAGTTGTTGCACGTCCGCCAGTTCCTGCCTCAAAATGAGCGAGTTTGAGCCACTTGTACATCCAGGAAGTGTTCAGGAAAAGCAAAACAGCAGAGAAGAAACTCGAAACAGGAACAATAACACCTCTCTGCCAACTAGCGTTTCGGAAGTGTTAATTCAGACCAACAGAGACAGCGCGCAGAAGTATAAATGCACAGCTACGCGCGTTTGCATGCGCCGTGGGTCACGCCGGTCACTTGACACAGAAGTATAAACCAGGCTTTACACCACCACCAGCAGCCTGAAACGTTGATACAAAGCAGGATGGATTCAAGCTTTCATGTTGTTGATTACAAATTCCAAATTCAGTTAGACCCTACTATCTGAAAGTCGCAGCTGAAATTGAGACTCATCAGACTAGGCAACGTTTTTCCAATCTTCTATTTGCTAATTTTGGTAAGCCTGAGTGAATTCTAGCCTCAGTTTCCTGTTCTTAGCTGACCGCTATGGTCCTCTGGAGCTGTAGCCCATCCCCCTCAAGGTTGGACATGTTTTGCGTTCAGAGATGCTCTTCTGCATACCTTGATTGTAACAAGTGATTATTTGAGCTACTGTTGCCTTCCTATCAGCTCAAACCAGTCTGGCCATTCTCCTGTGGCATCAACAAGGCACTTGCGCTCACTGAACTGCCATGGTATTGCTTAATATTTAAAAAATAAACACAATATTTTGCCTAATACTTAACAATAAAATAAAAAGTCTAAATATGGGTAGGCGGTATGACCAAAATTGTATTTCGCTGAAGGGCTGCTTGATTTTGGGAAAAATCATAATTACGATTATTTAAAGATACCATATACTGCATTGATTCATTAAGTTGAATTGTTCTCTGATATCTACATTGTAGGTAATCGGCTTAGGTAAATTCTCCAGAAATGGTTTTATATGCGCACTTATTACTCCTTAAAATACCCCTAAAATCAGAAAGTCCTTATTGACCATATTTAGATGGGTCAAGAATATTAATGAACTCTGCTCGGCTGCGGATCTCTGCTCTATCTCTCTCGCTCTCAAACACAGACCATGATGTACTCTAAACCTGCAAAACCATCATAATTCATTTGCCAATATTTAACAAACATAGTTAAAATATAAATATAAAAAAATAAACAAATGGAGAGGTTTATTTTAGCTTGGAGTGAGTGAGCTGTCTTTAATAAACCACCAGACAAAGTAACCTATTCTTCTCCCGATTTATTGTTCTTCAAATATTTTCAGACTTTTATACCTTTTTTTTTCTTTTTTTTTTTTTACAAAAAAGAGGGGGGGGGGGGTCAATAAAGAATAGAATAATCATGTCATCAGAAGCAACAGCTGTTACATCATTCTTTTAGTTATGTCTTTTTATGACAGATATACAATTACGCTATTGATAGAATTTATAATCCTTATGTGTCCTCGCAACCAGAAATAAAAAGGAGAAAGAGGTATAATGAATAGAACCACAATACGAACAGGATTTAATATAAGTACATATGGTATAGCAGATTTAACTTTACAATGCAAAATATAAACATGCGACATGTCATACTCATTCCAAAGTACTTCATATTTATGTATGCACTATTCATTCAAAATTTTATTTTATGTAATAACCATTTTTATATTAAATTCTTTTTATGATATGATAATTTTTATCAAATTTATACATAGTTTTTTCTCAGAGAAAAGGTCTTTTTTTCTATATTAAACACATCTTTTGCAATCACTGTCCTGTTTGTTTGTGAAAAGTGTAAATTTGCAGGTCAATGAGATTTTTTAATATCCCATAAATGTTACCTTTTCACAATAAATTGAAATCAGACTTGTGATTTTAGGACCCCAACTGATGCTTCATACCTAAAACTAACTAACTAATTAAAATTTGTATGATTGGTGTCATAGTCAGTAAGTTGATCTTTTTTTTCTGATTTATTTATTTTATTGTTACATATTTTCCTAGTCTGTTTGGACTCCACAACATTAAATCTAAATAACAGGTAAAATCCATTCAGAGCTTGTGAATTAACCATGGCCACTTATTTACATGTCACGGTATACATGGAATAAAAAAAAATTATTACCGTTGACAATTTATTCCGTGGTAGCTATATATAATGTCATACCTACCAGTATTAATTCCAAAGCACCACGTCCAATGGTGACACGCATGAACCTACAAGTCATTCTCTTTAAAATAAGTTTTTAGAAGTAACCACCTCACCCTCGAAAAATGAGACAGCTAATATATGATGATCTAGTGTTTAATATTTTATCTTCACATCATAATCTGACCATCACCTCACCCTTTTGTGATTAAAGTTGGCTGTGGGGGAAAAGAAAGCTGATTTGGGTCATGGATTTTTTTTTATCTTGATGCCTTTTCTGTATTCTTACATTTTAGAGTTAAAGCAGTGATTGATACACGTGGCCAGAAGATCGGCTGCAGTCATTTTGTGGTTGAAGATTCCTACATCAGAGAGGAGCAAAGAGAGAGCATCGATTACAGGTAAAAAACTATGCAAAAAATTGACATTACTATTCGTTATTGTAATTAAAGACACAATATCTAAGATTTTTGTATCAAAATGCAAATGCCAATTAAACAGTGTTATATATTTTGCAGTCCCAAATGTTTCAAATGATGTACAAATCCAAATAAATAAGACATTTTAAATGGTTACATGGACTGCATCGCCATGTGAACAAAATCAACCCTTTGACGCGTATAATTAAACCAGTGTGATCAGTCTAGGCTGGTCCCTGAAGCCTATGATCACACCGGTGTGATTACAACATTCAGAAAGTACATCATGAACTTTAAAGAGATAAAAAAGATGCATACCCTGCTTGTCATATATCAAAATTTATCAGTGTCTTTAAACAAAAAGCCTTTATTTAGGTTTCAGACTTTAAAATATCCTAACTACTAGCAAAACATAACATTTAAGGTCAGTAAAATAAACGCTGATGTCTATGGAGATGGAAATAATAATTATTTTTAAATATAACTGGACGATGTGCTTTATTTAAGTAAGATACACACTGTTTATGTTACTAGAACATTTACACTATTCCTCTCCCAGTTAAACAGACAGTACCTTTCATCTAGTTCTGAAGAAAATAATTAATAAACATGTTGTAAATCCAGCAGTTCCGATTTCTCCTGCAGCATAGACTAACTACCTGCCATGTATCAAATAATATGATCATTATTAATCTGTTTATAAGAATATATAGAATACATATTTGAGAATCGAAATACCAGATATTTGACAATAAAATAAAAAAAAAGAAACAAAGCACGATATACTGTATGGATCAGTCATTGGGGCTATGGTGTGTCACTTGATGTATCACCATGGAAACTTTTAAAGTGATCTATTGTTAATAACAGTCACAATAAAAAACTCAGAAGAGTCAGATGGAGTATTTAGAACTTATGTATGATATAGGTATTGCACTCTCCATTTTCATTTTGTATTTATAGAAAACATCAGCAATTGCTTCAGTGGTCTCATTTTGCATATTGATATTGGTATGATATTGAATGATAATATTACATGATATTAGGTGCTGAAGCACTGGGCGCAAAAGCATTAAGGACATGTCCAAATCCACTTTTGCTTTTTTTAAAGAAGCAAAAATACGCTCTGCGGCGCATGGTCTAACAGGGTTGAGCTTATACTCTTAATAAGTATGGGTGTGTTTTGAGCATAAACCAATCAGAGTCTCATCTCCCATTCCCTTTAAAAGTCGGTTGTGCTGCGCCATGGTGCATTTGCTATTTACATGGTGGACTTTGTAAGTGGAAAACATGCACACATCACTAGAGAGAAAAAACAGTTAAACAGACTATCTGCAGCGCAAGGATAGAATGAGCCTCTTCCAATCGGCCTTTACTTTCACTTTCTCTTTCTCTCTTTTGAGGATAAGGAAATGTGTTGTACGCACAGACATTAGCCTACGTAATTAATTTTGTTTGTTAAGTGCAAAGATTTGTTTTTAATACTATTTCTATATTCAGATCTATCAGTTTCAGTTTTATCCATATACACATGCAATGCCACATATGGTGCAAAACCTGACAGGTGGACAAATGTAAGCTTGTTTTTAATAAAACAAATATAAATATGCATATAATAAATAATACTAATAATAATATTAACATTATACAAAAGCAAATTGTCATGAATAACTAAAAAAAAAAAGCCTTTGAAGGTTTGGGAATTAAAGAAGAAGGCATGAAGACAGGGGTTTTTATATTTATTTAGAAAGTAATACATTTTAAAATATTTTATTCCTTAAATGTTTTTTTCATTTGTAAAGATATTTGTGTATTGCTGTTCATCCTGTGTGTTTTAGGCAATGTGTAAGTGAGGCGCACAACTGAAGCTGGTCTATTGTACAGTCTATTTTAGTTCCTCAAATTAGCAACGTGCCAACAATGTGCCTTAACACACCTCTTTTCCGGACTGAAATAAATTTTCTATTGAAACAACTTGGTGGAAAACGGGCAAATCAAGGTTGCGTTGGTCTGAATATAGCAACAAGTTGGGGCAAACAGGTCTTGCGCCTTATTGCGCGGGGTGTATGATAGGGCTCTTTAGCTCATCTATCAACATGATATCTGTATAGAGTCCCATAGGATGTGATGAAGACGAACACTCCCATGATTCCACACTCAGTCAATACATCATCAAATTACTCCTTTGTCTGTTGTGATTATGTGCCGTCTAGTGGAAAAAATGACATACTGTGCCTTTAAAGAGAAACTGTCATTTTGTACATAAAAGCCATATATTGTTTTTCTGATCTAAAGTGTCTATAATCTTCAGTGTTTACATTTCACATTCTATAATCAGTGTTCTGAATAAGGTTGACTTTCCAGTTAAAGTTACGAGAATATCTGTATAATTGCTGAAGCGTATGACATGAAATGCAAAATCAGATGTTTTTAAATAGTGTTCATACGGCACAAAATTCCATATTATCAAAATACAATATATAGTAATAAATGCCACCAAAACTATCATAAAATCCTTATAAAAGCAGTCCATATGATTAGTCCACTGCATAATCTGTCACCATGATATAAATAAAAATAAACAAATTGCCTGTTTGTCATTGTTTCAAACCTTTATAATTATATTTCATCTGGGAAACACAACAGGTGTGGAAGAATTATCAGTGAAAGCATGTACACTACCTGACAAAAGTCTTGTCGCCTATCCAAATTTTAGGAACAACAAATTATAACTTATCAGAAGTGGCTTATATGAAAGGCAAAAGCCTCTAGATTACACTTATTTTACCCAAATAAAATATGATCATGCTTTGATTTTTACTTATTTAATTAGAACAGTAAGGTCTGACTTTGCTTAGACAAAAGTCTTGTCACTTAACAGAAATAATGTACAGTATAGAATATAAAGTCATGCTGCAGTGGAAAAAGATTTAATATTGTGTATGACTCTCATGAGCTTGGACGACTGCATCCATACATCTCTGCAATGACTCAAACAAATTTGAAACTTTGAACTTTGGCAAAGAAAGGGTTCTTGCAGGACTCCCAGAGTTCATCAAGATTCTTTAGATTCTTATTTAATTCCTTATACTTCATTTTACCCCAGACCTGCTCAAAATTGTCCATATCTGGTGACTGGGCTGGCCAATCTTGGAGCACCTTGACCTTATTTGCTTTCAGGAACTTTGATGTGGAGGCTGATGATAAGGAGGGCTATCCTGCTGAAGAATTGACCTTCTCCTGTGGTTTGTAATGTAATGGGCAGAACAAATGTCTTTTTTCCTCAGGTTGTTGATGTTGCCATCCACTCTGCAGATCTCTCGCATGCCCCCATACTGAATGTAACCCCAAACCATGACTTTTCCTTCACCAAACTTGACTGATATCTATAAAAATCTTGGGTCATGCCAGTTCCAATAGGTTTTCTGCAGTATTAATGATGATTCTGATGCAGCTTAACAAATGATTCATCTGAAAAGTCGACCTTCTACCACTTTTTCAAATGATCAACAAGAAGTTGTTATTTGTTACTCTTACAACTGGGATAGACGACAAGACTTTTGTAAGGTAGTGTTGTATCGAACACATGCCCATACTTGCAAGGTTAGTGATGCCAATTCTCACTGGGTTGTGAGTTTCACAAACCAAATCCATTATGCCAGACACACAAAAAAGTGTTCTACAGGTTCATAAATGATATGAGAGAAGATTTTTGGATGGTCTGTTCATTGCGATTACTGTAAATTGAAAAAGCGATGTGTGATTAGGGTCATTTAGAATTTTCTTATTTCAGATAATATGATTCATTATATATGCTCTCTGCCTGTAATCATTCTTGTTCTTATTCACCTTTTCTTTTTTGAGGATTTTAATTCCAAATCTGTTTCATCGATTTCACAGGCAGATATCTCGAGCAGTGTTAATCACAGACAGATCTGTGCTGCCTTCAGAATCTGACCAGCAGGTATAAAGCACCATTTCTTGTTTCTTTTTAATGTATGTAGTTGTCTGTTCATTTGTTCCTTTTTTCATAACCCCCCCCCCCCCCCCTCTTTTATTTCATTTAATTGTTGTTAATTAAATTGTTAATTGTCATTTAACTGTTGTTGTAACAAATTTAATCTGTGATTTATGAGCCTGGACAACCAAACCATGTTTTTTTTTATCTTATGTTGCATGGCTATATTTTTGATGAATAGCCAAAATTATGTTTTATGGTTCTATATTTATTTTTCATGCCAAAGATCATTAGGATTAAGATCATCTTAAATGAAAATTTTGATTATGTACTACTGCTAAATATGTAAATATTTATCAAAAATTATTAGGAATGTGCATTGCTAAGCATTTTATATATGTACACTCACTGGCCCCTTTGTTAGGTACACCTTACTAGTACTGGGTTGGACCCCCTTTTGTCCTCAGAACTGCCTTAATCCTCCATGGCATAAATTTAACAAGGTACTGGAAATATTTCTCAGAGATGTTGGTCCATATTGATGTGATAGCATCACACAGTTTCTGCAGATTTGTCAACTGCACATCCATGATGCAAATACCCAGTTCCATCACAATCCAAAGGTGCTCTATTGGACCGAGATCTGGTGACTGTGGAGGCCATTTGAGTACAGTGAACTCAATGCTATGTTCAAGAAACCAGTTTGAGATGATTAGCACTTTATGACATGGTGCATTATCCTGCTGGAAGTAGCCATCAGAAGATGGGTACACTGTGGTCATAAAGGGATGGACATGGTCAGCAGCAATACAAGGCTGTCGCGTTGACACAATTCTCAATTGGTACTAATGGGCCTAAAGTGTGCCTAGAAAACATCGCCCACACCATTACACCACCACCAGCCTAAACCCTTGATACAAGGCAGGATGGATCCATGCTTTCACATTGTTGACACCAAATTTTGACCCTAGCATCAGAATGTCGCAGCAGAAATTGGGTCTCGTCAGACCAGGCAACATTTTTCCAATCTTCTATTTTCCCATTTTGGTGAGTCTGTGTAAATTGCAGCCTTAGTTTATTGTTCTTGGCTAACAGGAGTGGCACCCGGTGTGGTCTTCTGCTGCTGTAGCCCATCTGCCTCAAGGTTGGACGTGTGTTGGATGCTCGGTTTGAACTGCAGCAGATTGTCTTGACCACATCTACATACCTAAATGCATTGAGTTGCTGCCATGTGATTGGCTAATTACAAATTTGCGTTAACAAGCAGTTGGACAGGTGTACCTAATAAAGAGGCCGGTGTGTAGACAACTTTACAAGGTGATTTTCTCAATATTTAGATTTTTTTTTAAAACCTCCAATTTTCAAATAGTTGTATCTAAAGTTCATTCTTGAAAATATCCAATGTCACATTTGTTATCATTTTTTTTTTCATTTTATTAATTCACATTTTTATTATTTTTGTTCATCCTTTTGGTTCATTCTGTTGGTTATGTCTGTCTTTCTCTCTCTCTCTCTCCCTCCCTCCCTCCCTCCCTCTCGCTATCTGCCTTTCCTTTTAATGCTTTCTTGCATATCCACATGCGCATTTTAAGGGCATTGACCCATCTCCGCTGTGTGTGTGTGTTTGTGCGGTGCGTTTCTTGCCAGCCTTGCACTTTTGCTTTTCAACTTGTATTGCATTACATCTTTTTTATGCCGCACATCACATTTCGATGGATACTTGGGACACGTCCAAGATTTGGCAGGCATAGAAGCAACAAAACATCAGAGCCGATTTGTGGGATCGTTACAATAGTTCTGACATCCCGTTCTTGAGCGTAACGTTCCAAAGTGAATTACAAGAGGCAAAAAATAACTGGTTCAATGAAAGGACAGTAATTCTGTTTGCTTTTACTGGTTTAGAATTGAATAAATAAATCGCTCTGTTTTGAGATGGATAGTGACACGCGGGCGTCTTCTTAGGCTAATTTGAGTGCTGTCCACCAGAGTACGGCAATAAGCGAGCATACCTTTTGAATCTCAGCCCAATTTGCTCCCCGTCAGGAATCCGTGCTTGAATATTCAAAGCAGATCAGGAGAGGAAGGAAAAGTGGGTGTAATTTATGCTCATTAGCCTCGGCGAACAGAAATTAATATCAGTGTCTTGACACAGTGTGGAAATGGAATATTACATGACTGTGCGTGACAAAACGTAATTAAATATTCAGGTTGGTTTTAATTAGCCGCTCGTCCTTTGGAATGACAGTCGCCAAACGAGTGTTCGGTCAACGCTTACTCTTTCACACTTTCTGTGTGTTGTCTTCTCACACTTAGACTTGAATTTACTAGCAGTTTTAACCCAACAACTGTGTATAAACATTGTCTGGAGTGCAATAGAGGGATTATAAAGATCCTGTATTGAGGCGTATTTAACATCGCTTTATATAAAAGGCTTTTTGGTAATGGCAGCTTAACGACACCTCTCATATAAAGAATAAAGTCACATTCAAAAGAGTGTAAAAATCTTTGGTTTTGTGGGTCTCGTCTATCAAATCTGATCTTTATTTTGTATTCTCTATTGGATTCAAGTCAGGTAATTGGCTGGGCCATTCCACAGCTTGATTTTCTTTCTATGAAAGCATTTGAGCGGTTACTTTGCTGTGTTTTGAATCGTTGTCTTGCTAAAATGTCCTCCCTGGATTCATCTGCATCATCCTTCTAATGTAGATGTTGGATCGAAGCAGCTAATATTAATTTACAATGAGGAAGGCCAGAGGGTTTCTGAATAACTATTGAGAGATTTCAGCTGCTGTCTGGTCTTTCACTGCCTTTCTACACCTTCCTTTCTTTATGTGCTCAATACTTATTTCATTCGTTGTTTCATTTTATTGCGCATAACTTAATTTGTAAACTTATTACATTTGTTTTCTTTCCATATGTGGATTTCTTTGGTTGTTACCAACATCTGGTGAAAATTTCAAGTCAACAGCACCTTTGTTTTAATGTTTTCTAAGAAAAATGGTGTTTCCCGATGTATATTTATGAACACACTTGTTTGTAGAGCAAGTAGTTCTATTATTTTGTGTCGTTGATTATGCCTAGTCATTTCTCCCATACCCAAAGTCATTTCAAGTCATTTCTCACATACCCGACTGAATCAGAAGTTCCAAAACAATCGCAAAAATGAATCCGCATTGCACAATAAGGTTAATACAGCCTTCAAAACATGTAGCTTGTGTTGCTTTGTCCTCCCTGCTCTATAATTTGACATACTATCTCAGTATTTGCTTAAAACACAGGTTTCAAACTCAGTTCCTAGTGGGCCGCAGCTCTGCACAGTTTAGTTCCAACCCTAATTAAACACCTGATCAAACTAATCGGGTCCTTCAGGCTTGTTTAAAACTGACAGTGTGTTGAAGCAAGGTTGGAACTAAACTATGAAGAGCAGCGGCCCTTCAGGAACTGAGTTTGACACCCATGGCTTTAAGGAATAGTTCACCCAAAAATATGAATTAAAATGACCCTATAATTTAATAACCTTTAAGCCATCGACAATGTATATTTTTTCTTTCAGATTAACACGTTCGGAGAAGTTTTACATTTTATTCTGCCTCTTCCATGCTAATGGTGTTGTGTAGTGACTTTTATTTAGAAGCTTTTAAAAGTGCTTAAATCTTTCGTATATATGTAGTCAGGTTTTATTGTCAATAATATTATTAAATTAGATGCAATAGTTCTTATGATTTTATGTACAAAACGTTTTGTAAAGTAATAATTATCTTGGTAGATAAATTAAATGATAGACTTTGTTTACTAAACAAGTGTTTCTTATTGAATTTGCATTGTAAAGCTTAAACCTTTTCTATGTTTCTTTATTTAATTTGTTAAGCTTTTAGTTACCTTACTCTCGTAATCATTCCACATACATCTGGAGATTTTTACAACATTCTGCACAGAAATAGTAAAAAATGTCTGCAGATTCTGTCTGGCCCTCACATGCAATAACCCTCTGGCGGTGTGTGGTTTAGTTCAATGAAGTAAATTTAGTTTAATTAGTTTCGTTTAACGCTCATTTAATTTAGTTTAATGTATAGATGATCAGTGATGACTAATATATGCTATTTTAGATGCTTTAAAATAAAATCAACTAGCCAACAACATTATACACCATGAAAGAGCCAAGAAAAAATCTGAAAGGAGAAAGTCATACACATCAAGGATGGCTTGAAGGTGGTTAAATGAAGATCTAAATTGAGCTCAGGTACATTCTGTTTCCACTGATAGTTCTTGAGATGTTTCAGCAGCTTAATTAGAGTTTACCTGTGGTAAATTTAGTTGATTGGACATGATTTGAAAAGGCATACACCTGTCTATATAAGGTCCCAGGGTTTGCAGTGCATGTCAAAGCACAAAACAAGCATGAAGACAAAGGAGTTCTCTCTAGACCTCCGAGACAGGATCGTCTCAAGGCACAAGGCTGGGGAAGGTTACAAAAATTTTTTTTGCTGCTCTGACAGTACCAATGAGCACAGCGGCCTCCATCATCCATAAGTGGAAGATGTTTGGAACCACCCGGACTCTTCCTCGAGCTGGCCAACCATCTAAGCTGAGTGATTGGGGGAGAAGGGCCTTAGTCAGAGAGATGATCAATAACCCGATGGTCACTCTGTGTGAGCCCTAGCGTTCTTCTGTGGAGAGAGAAGAACCTTACAGGAGGACAATCATCTGTGCAGCAATACACCAATCAGGCCTGTATGGTCGAGTGGCCAGACAGAAGTCACTCCCCACCTGGAATTTGCTAAAAGGCATCTGAAGGACTCTCAGACCATAAGAAACTAAATTCTCTGGTCTGATGAGACTAAGCTTAAATTCTTTGGAGTGAATGCCGGACGTAACGTTTGGAGAAAACCAGACACCACTCATCGCCAGTCTAATATCATTCCTACAGTGAAGCATGGTGGTGGCAGCATCATGCTGTGGGCATGTTTTTCAGCAACAGGAACTGTAAGACTTGTCAGGATAGAGGGAAAGATGAATGCAGCAATGTAGAGACATCCTGAATGAAAACCTGCTTCACAGTGCTCTTGTTCTCAGACTGCGGGGACGGTTCATCTTCCAGCAGGACAATGACCTAAAGCACACGGCCAAATTATCAATGGAGTGGCTTCACAACAACTCTGTGAATGGCCTTGAGAGGCCCCGCCAATGCCCAGCCCTAAATCCAATTGAACATCTCTGGAGAGATCTGAAAATGGCTGTACACCGTCGCTTCCCATCTAACCTGATATAGCTTGAGAGGTACAGCAAAGAGTAACGTCTGTTTTACACCGCAAGCGTCAGCGGCGCGTGAGCAGAGCGTGAGCAGCGCGTATGTCGAGCAGTAGCAGCACGCAGGCGTTTGCCTTTCACACCAGCTGCGTCTGCAGCGCGCAGCTCTTCGGCAGCTGCTGCAGAGATCAACCTATCTCTGTCTATTCTATCTAGTTACCCATGTCTCTCTATATACAAATAGACTTTTTAAACTTTTCATCTGCACCAAGGCCCCTCCTATGCTGTTTCTTTAACCTGCAAATGTTTATTTTACAAATTTTATAGATCAAATAGTACTGTATGCTTTTCAAGCTAACTTATATGAGAAGTGTCTACAGTCAGAGGACAATCGCCTGTGATATCATGTCATTTGTTTTTTGATTATCAGGTTGCTGTAGACCTAGTTATAATCATATTTATACAATATAGTTATAATGATATTTATACATGATCAAACTAGTGTTACTTTTTCCGCTTCAGTGATGTCCAGCGGCAGAATAACAGCTCGTTAATTCATGCTCGTGCAGAGGATGAGACGGACAAAAGTAACCAATGCATGCCATTCTTTTACTTATTTTCGTGTTGTCAGATTCAACAGATTCAAACAGCTCCCGGTAGGAATAGTTCGAGTGAACATAAAACAAAGCCGATTAAAACTTTACTTGCTCTGCTTAGCTGCACAGAACACAGCGAGCTCACATAATCCAGCATGCGTGTCGAACTACACTACCCACAATACACTTCGCTATGGACTACAAATCCCGTAAATATTCCATTTCCCCTCTCCTACAACACTAGTGTGCAACTTAAGCAAAACTGATACTAAAATTGTTTTACATTTGGTTTTGTAGTTCGGGCCTAAATAAATGTTTGTTGCCGTTTTTAATCGTTTTAAGTTCATTTGAATGACTATATATAAACCATTTGACATTATTAACGCATTTATTGGGTAAAATTGCTAGTTTTTACTGTCATTCAATGTGTTTTGGTCATTATCAATGCACTGTCACTTTAATTGAGCGTGAGCAGCGCGTCAAAAATAGACCCAGCGCCGAAACTATCGCTGCATTGCTGCTTCGGCGACGCTCACGCCTCGCTCTGACGCGCTGCTGCTGCGTGCGGTATGAAAGCTCTAATCTGTTAACATGAACGCCGAAAACACACGCGCTGCTCACCCTCTGCTCACGCGCCTCTGACGCTTGCGGTGTGAAACAGGCGTAATAAGCAAAAATTCCCAAAGACAGGCGTGCCAAGCTTGTGGCATCATATTCAAAAAGACTTAAGGCTGTAATTGCTGCCTAAGGTGCATCAACTAAGTATTAAGCAAAGGCTGTGAATGCTTATGTACATGTGATTTTCATTTTTTCAGGTTTTTTTATTTTGAATAAATTGCAACAATTTCAAAAAAATATTTTCACATTGTGATTATGGGGTATTGTGTGTAGAATTTTGAGGAAATAAATTAATTTAATCCATTTTTGAAATAATGCTGTAATATAAAATAGTACGGAATGTGAAGCGCTATGAATACTTTCCGGATGCACTGTATATTGACTATACAGTATATAGTGAAATGTAGTCGGTGAGCAGCGAGACCTAGGTGTCACTCAAGTGGCCACACCCTTATTTATTCAGACGTAATATAAATAAAACGGATGAGGTATAAAAATAAAAATTTACCCCCTTCACAGTTGTCATGAAGTGTAATATTAGCTATATACCCCAAAATATTTTTTGTACCAGGCTGTAAACACCATATTTTCTGCTGTAAAGTTGGCCATTTTAACAATGGAGTCATTAAAAATGTGCTCTATGTTGCAGCCGGGTCTAGCTGAATTTCGATAAATTGCAGTTTCAGTCACATCCGTATTAGCTTGACAAGGGAGATTGGGATGTTACCGCTTGGTTGAATTAAACAAATATATTTTGAATAATAATGGAAACTGGTAGCCAATGACATTCATAGTAGGAAAAACAAATACTATATAATCAATGACTAGCAGTTTGCTAAATAAATTTATTTGTGTTCAGCAGAAGAAAGTTGTGTGCCAAGCAAATGATGACAGAAATTTCATTTTAAGGTGAACAATTCCTTTAAGTAGTACTGTTTTTCCATATTTACTGGTAGATCTCTTTGGTGACCGTTCCTCCTGTGGAATCTTCTGGACCAGCTGTGAGGATGGTTGAGCTGTGTTCGTCCTCCATGACCTGCATGCCTGGCACCTGTAAGTTGTTTCATTTCATAAACAGCGATCACACAAACTGCATCAAGTATACATTCTACCTTAATCATATTGTAAATGCACCGTGTTACGCATTATTGAAAAGTTGTAACAGGATGTAAACCCTGACCCTTCTTGCTTACTTGAAGATAATGAGTTCCAAACAATTTACAGTTCTCATTTCTGCCAGTGTATCAATATTTACACAATAAAAATTGTGCAATATTAGGTAGGAAAAAAACTGTACAAAAGCACGCACATCTCTCCTAATTGGGTGCTCAGCCAAAACCGCAAAAAGTGCAAATTAAATGTAAATCAAAGGCGGCAACACCAAGGCTCCAAAAATACAAATTTATTAAATTAAAAAGGCTGACACAGAGCGTGTAACGTTTCGAGCCGCCGGCTCTTCATCAGACAATGTTAAACATTTGATTTACATTTAATTTGCAATATTAAGTAGGAACATAAAAAATTCAATTTAGTAAATAAAGCTTATAAACAGGGCAGCGCAGTGGGTAGTGCTGCCACCTCACAGCAAGAAGGTCACTGGTTTGAGCCTCGGCTGTGTTACTTGGCATGTCTGTGTGATGTTTGCATGTTTTTCCCGTGTTTGCGTGGGTTTCCACCAGGTTTTCAGCGCGAGTCCAAAGACATGCGCTATAGATGAATTGGGTGAGCTTAATTGGCTGCTGTGTATGACTATGAACGTGAGAGTGTATGGGTGTTTTCCAGTGATGGGTTGCGGCAGGAAGGGCATCCGCTGAGTAAAACATGCTGGATAAGTTGCCGGTTCATTCTGCTGTGGCGACAGAAAATGAATGAAAATAAAATGAATGAGTGAATGAAGCTTGTATACAGTACAGAATTTTTTTTATTATTTCCTAAATGCTGTTTAACAGAGGGAAGATTTTGGAAAGCTTTTTTAAAAACATAATAGTTATAATAATAATTCATTTGTTTTTGCCATGATGACTGAGCATAATATTTTACTTGCTTTTTTGCTATGTACTACCATTCAGCTTAAATTGCAATTTAAAGGCGCCAACACTGTTGGGTTTTGTCAGTGCTAGTTGTTTGCCTGTGGCTTGGTGCATCCTGGCCTTTAGAGTCAATTGCAATGGCTTCATATCAGAATTAAGATAGATTTAAAAATTCTCATATTGGCTTGTAAAGCTTTGCATGCTTTGGATCCTCATTATTTATCCCAACTGTTAACTATTTATTAGGTTCTTTTAGAACAGGGGTTCTCAACCAATTTTTGGAGGCCCACCTGTCTGACATCTAATTTGTTTGTATGAAATGCTCATTTGTTTATTAACAAATATTTAGAGTTGAAATCAGAATTATTAGCCCCCCTTTGATTTTTTTTTTTTTTTGTCTTTTTTAAATATTACCCAAATTATGTTAAACAGAGCAAGGAAATTTTCACAGTATGTCTGATAATGTTTTTTCTTCTGGAGAAAGTCTTATTTGTTTTATTTCAGCTAAAATAAAAGCAGTTTTTAATTTTTAAAAACCATTTTAAGGACAAAATTATTAGCCCCATTAAGGACAAACCATCGTTATACAATAACTTGCCTAATTACCCTAACCTGCCTAGTTAACATAATTAACCTAGTGAAACCTTTAAATGTCACTTGAATATAAGTGTCTTGAAAAATATCTAGTAAAATATGATTTACGGTCCATTATGTCCATTAACACTCACAGGACATTAAATTGAAAATCTATGCGGTTATATATTAAATGAAACACAAAGAGAGACTTTCATTTCATGCATAGTTTGTGAACGAACAGACTTACGTGTACTAGTTGGAGACGCGATCATGAGGCTGCTTTTGCGCTGAATTTGAAGTTATCAATCAGAGAACAAGAGAAAGTGCATTACTTCCATTTTAATACAGCATATTAATAATAAAATCCTAAAATTACAGTATAATATTGAGAGGTAATTTTAATTTTGCGGCACAACAGTTGAGAATCCCTGTTTTAGTGGAACCCCCTACTGGTTTACATTCCATGGGAGATCTTTGACCTTTGGGAGAATGGGAGAATTTGACCTTTTTATAATTATTGTGGTTTTTATCTTTTTTTAAATTATGTTTATCTTCTGTGTAAAATGCTTTATGATGTTCCTTTAAAGGCGCAATAGAAAATTAAGTTTATTAATTGTATTGTTTGTTGTTGTTATTATAAGGACAAGAGAGAATGCTATTCAAACCTGTCCAAGATTGTGCACACAGTATAAAAACAATAACGAGAGAAGGTAGGACTCAAGCTTAACCAAGAGCACACATTCAAAAGAAAGACACAGATATGAAATGAATGCATGGCCTAAGCAAACTCGAGACAAGCGCTACATTCAGGACAAAACTGGAGCACTGTCTAGACTCTGTCACCAAAATGATAATAAAGAAGAGCAAAGAGTCCTGACACTGGCAGAGGTGTTGATTTTCTGCATAAATGGCATTTAGCCACACTATTACATAATGAAGTGGCACATTCCACAACATGTTATTTTGGCAGACTAGCTTCAATATTTTTGACTATCTCAAATGTTTTGAGCTCAATACAGGCTTCTTGAAAATACTTGAATTATAGGCATATGAATTCAAATCCTGGATATACTTAAAAACAAATATAGATCATTGAAAGTGCTTGATATGTTTTATTGAGTTTATGGTTTTATTTAAAAAACTGTACTGTGCTGCTTTCAAAAACTGAAAGAAATTCATGATTTAAAAATCTTTCATTTGAATCTTATACATGAACTGACAAATAATACATCAATATTTCAGAAACCGCGTTTGAACATTACCAGTATTGAATTGTACTATTTTATAGATAATTGTACCAATTATGGATAATTGTATTGAAGTTTTTTGAACATGACTGTTTGAAACGGTCACAGTTTCTGAAAATAATACATTCAAAAAATCATCATTAGCATTTTAGGACATTGTAAGTATTAATTGTAAGTGAAATGTTAAGTACAGGAAGGACTTTCATGGCATTATACACTAGCTGACAAAAGTCTTGTTGTCAATCCCAGTTATAAGAGCAACAAATAACCTCGATTTTCTAGTTGATCATTTGGAAAAGGAGCAGATAAATCATCTTTTAAGCTGCATCCCAATCATCACAAATACTACAGAAGACCTATTGGAACCGGCATGGACTCTTGGCATGGATTCTTACAGAAATAAGTCAAGTTTGTTAAAGGAAAAATCATGATTTGGCGTTACATTTAGTATGAGGGCGTGTGAGAGCTCTGCAGAGTGGAAGGCAACATCACCAGCCTGAGCTATCAAGACATTTGTGCTGCCCATTACATTACAGACCACAGGAGAGGACAAATTCTTCAGCAGGATAGCGCTCCTTCTTACACTTCAGCCTCCACATCAAAGTTCCTGAAAGGAAAGAAGGTCAAAATGCTCCAGGATTGGCCAGCCTAGTCACCAGGTATGAACATTATTGAGCATGTCTGGGGTAAGATGAAGATGGAGCCATTGAAGATGAATCTAAATAATCTTGATGAACTCTGGGAGTCCTGCAAGAAGGCTTTCTTTTCCATTCCAGATGACTTTATTAAGTTATTTAAGTCATTGCAGAGATGTATGGATTCAGTCGTCCAAGCTCATGGGAGTCATACACAATATTATTTGTCTTTCATATTAGCTACTTCTGATACCAAATGATCAACTAGATGTCAAGTTATTATTTGTTGTTCAGAAAACTTGTATAGGCAACAAGACTTTTGTCAGGTAGTGTATACCGAATATTTTTATGGTACAGTGACCGCTTATATGTCAAAAGATCAAGAGGATTTGAGTTCTAAGTTCCTTTAAAATGTTTAATAATTGAAAACTTTTAACTGGTAGTATAAATAAACTAGTTTTTTTTGCAAAACAAAGTTTGAGCTATTGCTGATCTTCCAAATCACATTGACGTTCCTTAAACGAAGCCAAATGTCAAAATTGTCCTTCAAAGCACACAGTTGACTGCCCACCTCAATGATGACTCCATCATTAACTGTATTTTTGTTATTTATGAAAGTTATCGTGTTGGTTATACTGGTGCCATTTTGCTATCAATCATCATGAAAGGAATAGATCAGTTGGAGATATAGAGGTATATCGGTCTTGGCGCGGACCCCAGCGACTGACTCCGTCCTCACGAGGGAATGAAAAGCTTAATCAGCGGAACTCCACTTCCTCTCTCTCTCCCTGGGAATTGAGTTCAGGGGGAAATGAAAGGAAGCTGGATCAGATCTATGGTTTGCTTTGCTATATCCCAATCCCACAGGGAGATGGATCGTAGCCGTTCCTCTTTAAGTAATGCACTTCTACCTCAGTGCATCCCTTGCAATCAGCGGATGATGATGAGCGTGACAGACATGCGTTCAGAGGAGAAGATGGTCTTTATTTATCATTAACCACTTTTGACACGACTGCTTTAGTTCCACTGCTAGGTATGTTGAATGTGTCCTCAAGGAATCACAGTTACTCCAAGACCACTGATTGTAGACTTTTAAAGTGAACCATGTGATTTTTCTTTTTTTGAGCCACTAGTGCCGTCAAACTAAATTGCAAAAAAAAAACAATTCACACCTCGATTTCTAAATAATTTGATGGTCCTGCCAGTCCTATTCATAAATATTTAAAGAGCCCCTATTTTGCATATGGTATTTCTAAACATAATAGTTTTAATAACAAATTTCTTATAACTGATTTATTTTATGTTTGCCATGATGACTGTAAATGATATTTGACTAGATATTTTTCAAGACACTTCTATACAGCTTAAAGTGACATTTAAAGGCTTAACTAGGTTAATTAGGTTAACTAGGCAGGTTAGGGTAATTAGGCAAGTTATTGTATAACGATGGTTTGTTCTGTAGACTATCAAAAAATATATAGCTTAAAGGGGCTAACAATTTTGACTTTAATGTTTGTTTGTTTTTTAACGGCTTTTATTCTAGCCAAAATAAAACAAATAAGACTTCCTCCAAAAGAATAAATATTATCAGACATACTGTGAAAATTTCCTTGCTCTATTAATCATCTTTTGGGAAATATTTAAAAAAGAAAAAAAAATTCAAAGGGGGGCTAATAATTCTGACTTCAACTGTATATAGTACAATTTTAAATTTAAAACCATTTAATAATTACAAAATTAAAATGAAGTAACAAGTTATTTCTTTGATGACTGGAAAAGAAAATTTGAAGCTATCACTTTACAATATACTAATGCCCTGTTTTTCTAGGCTTTATAGGTGATAATGGTCAGGACTGTTGGACCGTTATTGCGTTTTTAGCTTATAAGTAAACAAATTATTTTTTTATATAAGTACAAACTAGCTAGAGAGTAATGTGTAAATTGCTGAGTGGGCTAAATAATAATAATAATTAAAAAAAAATCTGTATTTTTTTAATTAAATGTACTTTTTTGCTTTTATTCTTTCCGTGATAAAAAAAAATATATTTATTTGTAGAGCAACCCATGTTCTGTTGTCATTAATATTTTAATACACTTTAATAGGTAGAACTGTCCGTATGAACAAAAGCAAGTGACGCATCAAAGTTTGATTTTAAAAAATCTTGAATGGTTATAAAAATCTTTGTAATCATTAAAATGATTTTAAAAAATAATTTGTTTAAAATCTTGAATGATATTAATGATATGATTTAGTTCTGGAAACTTCCTACTTCTCTGTTTATTTGTTCGATTTTACGGCCGGTTTCTTTTGGCCGCCCCCTGTTGTTTTAAAGAATATCACAACGGCGAACGCATCAAGTATAAAAGACTTGGGTTCAGGGACGCGGCACCAGTTTAAACCAGCCTTTAATCTGGCAACAATCTTTACAACGCAGTTACGATATTGCCAATGAGATAAATGTTAGATAACATGGTTCCGAACTGTCATAAATGACAATTTTATTTTTTCATGAGCCGTCCCATTCCTACTGTCATCATAGTAAAGACAAAAAAAGTTCGAAATTAGTTTATAACACTATTGTGAGTAAAAATATGTTGTAAAAAAAATCAGCTTACCAGCTCTTGCAAAAAATGTTTTTAAATAAACATTTCACAGGATGACAAATACATTTTCAAAGCATTCACCGTATATTTTGTTTAAGATTCTATACAAAACAGTATATGTCCATAACATGGTATTAATCCACCTTGCACTGCAAAAGTGTTAACTTTTAACTCTCCAGGACTTTTAAAATCAGCCTCTAGAGTGTCTTTGGCTGTAGCAAGTCATTTTTTTTTCAAGTTGGCGTGTGTCCCGTGTGTCTTTAAAGCCTTTAGCGAAGCTGCACCTTCTGTCCCACTGGAGATGCCTACATCTGTGCACCTCTCCATTGTGTGACACAGAGCCTGTATTCCGCCCTGAGCTGCGTGCACTACAATTCTTCTCTTTGATCCTCACACGCACAGTATTGTACCGCAGACCGCTGAAGAAGTAATGATAAGCCTGGAAGTGGTGTGTGTGAACTCTCGGGATTATCCAGGACATTTCCACAGATCCCACTTAGTAGAACTTTTCAGACCTTTGCGAGGATTGAGATTTGTTGTTTTGAATTTTGCTGCCCGCTCTTTTGGATCGCTTTCATGTGTACTTTAAGAGTCTAACTTTAGTTCTTCAATGATTCTTCAGGATGTTAGCCCAGATTCGTTCATTCGTTTGTGTGTGTGCATGTCCATTCGTTTGTTCGTGCATTCATGCGTGTGTGCGTGTGTTCTTTTATGCGTTTGTGTGTGCGTGCATGCTTTGTTCGTTCTCCTTCATCTTAGTCTCTATTTCAGATGTCGCCAATTATTTTCAGTTCAATTCCGTTCAAAATTATTTCTATAGCACTTTTACAATGTAGATTGTGTCAAAGTACTGTAGCTTAACATATGTTTTATGCAGTAGATACCAGGGGTGGACTGGCCATCTGGTAGACCGGGAAGTTTCCCGCTGGGCCGGCGTACTTTTTGGGCCGGGCTGATCATCTTCTTATGATCTGATCGGCCAATAAAACATTTAGCAGCCTGTCGTTTTATTCTGCCTATAATTGAGGATGCTTTGATCTGTGACTTTCTGAAAGTATGATGTTTTTTTTTTTTTAACAGACCGGCCCATATGACATAATCTGCAGCCCATTGGTTCTTTTCTTTATTGATATTGAGCTGACCCAATCACAAACTCCCATTTTGGGCTCTGTGTAAGCGTGCAACATCGGTGTGTATTTGTCAAAATAGTTAAGAGTCTCGCCTCTTTCAGACAAGCGCGCCTATGGAGAGTAGAAGCAACGTGCATCTATAAATACTTTTTATTTTTACTTTTCATCTGCACCAAGGCCTGCGGCAACTTCTTCCCATGCTGTTCCCTTAACCTGCAACTCTTTATTTTACAAATTCTATAGATCCTAAAGAACTGTATGCTACTTAAGCTCTATGAGTGTCATTCATATATTTTAAGATGCACCCGGTCAGAAGACAATCGCCTGTGAAATCATGACATTTTGTTTTTGATCGTCAGCAAGATGTAGGCCTATATAGTTATAATAATATTTATACAATATGGTTATAATGATATTTATACATGACCAAACTAGTGTGCAACTTAAGCAAAACTAATTCATTTATTATTATTATACATTTTTTTATTTTTTTATTTTTTTTTTAGTTTTGTAGTTTGGGTCCAAACAAATATTTGTTGTATTATTTAATCGTTTAAGTTCATTTTATTGACTATACACAATCTTTAAACTACATTGATGTTTTATTGATGAGTTAAACATTTTTTAAGGGTCTCTGACACATTGCTTTTATTATTTAACTTTATTTTGTTAATCAACATTAACTGTGTGCATCAGCAGGCAGTTTTTATGTTCATTATTTAATATGGGCTCTCTCAAAACACACAGGCACACACACACACACACACACACACACACACAAGATGGATTTCCAGTGTGGATTATAATTTTATTAGAATAATAAATTAAATTTTGTACAAGTTTGTAATATGTAAACTCTGATTATTTCCTATATATATATATGGCTTTTGTGCTTTTTTAGAATAGGAGTTGGTAAACATACTCAAGGGCGTGCACAGATGGGTAGCATTTTGATTGAATGTAGTGGACCGCTCTGGCCCAAAATGCCAGGGCTGATTGTTTTGTCCCAGTCCAGCTCTGTTAGATACCCTCAGTACTGGGAAACACCCATACACTCTCTTAACCCAGATTGCCATGCTCAATTCAATGTTTTTTGAAGCTATTGTTGTAAAGCAATATTTTTATTAATGAATTTTCATTTGAATTTTGTGATCCCTTACAGGTTTGGTCCACTTGACCTGTTCATCGTCTGGTACGGCCCAGCAAGATCTTGCTCCAGTAGTATCTCAATTATTTCACATTCCCACCACTCCGGGAGAAGATCCTTCAGAAGGTAAGACTCAAGCAAGCTCCTACACTTCCAGTTAAAAACTCCCCATCATTTAAACTCATTAACATCTTCTGTCCCCGATTGGCCATACAGATCCACCATACATCCTGCTAACAGCACTTAACTAACCTTGCCGTCCGTGTCAAAGAGAGATCATCTCTTCTTCTCTTTAAAGAAGAAAGAGCTGGTATTGCTGTGACATTCAGTGAAGGGCTTACACAGAGACGTTATTGGCGATAACAGTGATTGATATTGATGGTGGTGTGGCAGGCAAGGGCCAGGCGCTGCTCCCATTGATTCCCATTATGCTCTGTCAGGGTCTGCTTGGCTCCTTCAGAGTGAATCTGAGCACGAACTGTCACATATGACCTCACGTTACCTTCAGATCATGAGGGTAGAATCACATTGATTCCAAAAGTAGACCCGTTTATGCTACTTGTGATAGTTGTGGTAAAATGACAGTGTGGGAACTAAATGGCAATACAAGTTTTCAAGATGTTTTTTGTGTTAGTGTAGCCTGACAAACCTCTTTTTATAAGATAAAGTGCACACATCCTTATACAGTAACTGAGCAAGAAGAGACAATCATCATCCTTTAATGTCTTCTATGGTGTTAATTAAGTGGTGTATGGTTCATTTTATATGACTAATTCAGACGTTTGGATTCAGTTAATATAATATATTGATTTAAGATTAATTGGAGAAGAGTGGTCTCAAAGGCCAATAAACAAACTATATATATTCAAGTCTTTTTTGCCAATAATTGAAAATGTTTAAGTGTTTTTAAAATTATTTAGTTTGTGTTATTAAGGCTAATGATCAAATTACTTCTTTCTTTCTTCCTTCCTTTCCTCCTTCCTTCTTTTCCTTTCTCTTCCTTCCTTTCTTCCTTATTTCCTTTCCTTCTTTTTTCTCTTTCTTCTTTTATTTCCTTCTTTTTTTCTTATTTTTTTTTAGTTTCTTTTATTCTTTTCCTTTCTTTGTTTGTTTCTTTCTTTCTTCTTTTCTTTCTTTTTTCCTTCTTTTCGTTTCCTTGTCTCTTTCTTTTTTCATTTCTTTTGTTTTCTTTTCCTTCCTTTCTATCTTTCTTTTCTTTCTTTTTCTTTCCTTCTTTCTTTGTTTTTTTCCTTCTTTCCTTTCCTACATTTCCTTCCTTCTTTCTTTCTTTTCTTTAATTTATTTCCTTCTTCCTTTTTTTGTTTCTTTGATTTTTTACTTTATTCCTTTCGTTTCTTTCTTTGCTTCCTTCTTTCCTTTCTTCCTTCATTCTTTTTCTTTCTTTCCTTCTTTTCTTCCAGTATACTTTCCTTTTTCTTGCTTTTTCTTTTCTTCTTTTCCTTTCTTTCTTTCTTTCTTTCTTTCTTTCTTTCTTTCTTTCTTTCTTTCTTTCTTTCTTCCTTTCTTTCTTTCTTTCTTTTCTTATTTCTTTTATTTCATTTATTCATTCTTTCTTCTTTCCTTTCCTTTCTTTCTTTCTTTGTTCTTTTCGTTTATTTTTTCTTTGTTCCTTTGGTTTCTTTTTTCCTTCTTTTTTTTTCCTTTCTTTTATGTATTTCCTTTTTTCTTCCTATCTTTCCTTTTCGTTTCTTTTTTTCCTTCCTTTTTTCTGTCTTTCTTCTCCTTTTTTTCCTTCTCTTTCTTTTTGTTTCTTCTCTTTTCTTTTGCTTCCTTGGGATATGCGATGCTACATAATGCAGTATTTATTTTCCATTAAAATAATATATATATATATATTTCAGGGAATAGAAAGCTTCCCTACAACTTGAATGAACATTTTCAAGCCATGATTTACTGTTGCATAAAACAAATCAAACATTTTAACAATGCAAACAAACTAAAAGAATTAAGTTTCACCGCTGGTTTGCTTCACTAATATAGTTCTATCAACATAAATAATGTAATACAAATGATGTATAATAATCATATAAAAAAAGAATCAAACTATTATGTCATTACTTCAAGCAGTCTTATGGCTTCTGAAACATTGCCTCATTGCGTGGTCATATTTCAGCATTAAAAAAAATCGGTAGAGATATTTGGACAAGAAAGCCAGCACTTGTGCTTACCACAAGATACATCGCAATAAGCACATCTGCGATGTTTCTGTCATTTCAGTATTACCCAATGTATACCAATGTTTAAATGTTTTATTCACCCTAAAATGAAAATCATTTTACACCTTTTAAAAGTTTATTTCTTCTGTTGAACACAAAGATATTTTAAAGAATGCTCATTGACTTACATACAAAGAACAAAATGTTATGGAAGTCAATGGTTCCCAGCAACTATCATTTTTCAAAATTTCTATTGTGAGAATAGAAGAAAGAAACTTAAATAGGTTTGGAACAACTGAAGGGTGAGCAAATGATGACAACTTTCAATTTTGTTGAGCTGTAATAACAGTAGGATCAAGATCATCAAATCTATGGCATCCTCATCTAACAAACTCAGTCATTTTACCACACCTTTAATCTTTATCACTTTCCAGTCATTCACGCATTCTCCCCTGAAGCAATTCCTTTTTATATTGATTCTTGTTTTGAACTGAAGTACTTCTTTGGCCCGACTAAATAGAATGGTTGTAATTGTTTGTGTGTGTAAGCATGTGTGCTCAGGTGCGGGGCCGCTGCGGGGTGCGTGGCCCTGCTGGGCGACACACTGCCTTTTTATCACAGGAATGAGCTAGTACTATTTTAATTAAAATGTCAGAACAAATACTGGCAGAGGTCTTGAGGATGAATCGCTAGATAAGAAGAGCAGTGGGCCAGAACAGGTCAGAGAGACAAAGTCACCTGGGCAGATCTTCATTCATCCCCATAGTCAAAGCGCTGTCTGCGCGTGTGTGTGTGTGTGTGTTGGTTTAGATCATGATGGAGCCAAACAACACAAATCACAGCAGCAAGTGCATGTTTTATTAAAGATTTAGACCCATCAGAAAGATTAAGTCTCATGTATGACAACTAGATTTACACTAAAATCGTTTTTGACGATATAAAATTTTGCAATATAATAACATTAACAAAAATCCAAATTGCTACAGTTTCGATTTCTCCTAAATGTTTTTTATTTTATATTAAATTCCAACATTGTTCATTCATTCATTCATTTTCAATTCAATTCAGCTTTATTTCTATAGCGCTTTTACAATGTAGATTGTGTTAAAGCAGCTTCACATAGAAGATTATAGTGAATTGAAACAGTGTTTCAGAGTTTAAGTTTCAATTTGTTCAGTTCAGTGTGTTTTAATATTCACTGCTGAGAGTCCAAACACTGAAGAGCAATCTATCGGTGCGAAGTTCTACAAGTCCCGAACCATGCAAGCCAGTGGCGACAGCGTTAAGGAAAAAACTTCACCAATTGGCGAAAGTTAAGGATAAAAAAACCTTGAGAGAAACTAGGCTCAGGTGGGCACGACCATTTCTCCTATGGCCAAACATCTTGTGCAGAGCTGCAGTCTAGGCGCTGGAGGCTGGAGAATGCTGGACGTCAGCGAATACTTGGCTGTCTCTGGAGTCTCACAGGAATCAGACGCATGCTCTCTACTCCTCCATGACCACCACAGCAGCTGCTCAGAATGCGGCCTGGTCTGAGATTGTGGAAACCTTGGGATCATCTCTTCACAGAATCGCATCAGTGGCACTGCATAATCTCTGGGGGCCTCGGGATGAGTATAAAAAATAAAAAGAATAATTAGCGTAGCTGCTGTTTATAGTGTATATTAACGAGATGCGTAGAGCACATTCCTGCGTCATAATGCTATGTGATGCATTGAGTGTATGCTTTACTAAAAAGATAGGTCTGTAATCTAGCTTTGAATTGCAAGAGTTTGTCTGAGCTTCAGACATTATCAGGAAGGCTATTCCAGAGTTTAGGAGCCATAAAGGAGAAGACTCGATCTCCTTTACTCGACTTTCCTATTTTAGGTATTAACTACCTATTAGCCCTGAACTTGGAGATCTTAAAGAGCGGGTTGGCTTGTAGTGAGACAAAAGGTTGGTTAAATAAACAGAGCTAGATTATTTAAAGCTTTATAGGTAAGAAGTAATATTTTAAAATCAATACGAAACTTAACAGGCAGTCAATGTAAGAAGGATAAAATTGGGGCAATATGATGGTATTTTCTAGACCTGGTAAGAACTCTGGCAGCTGCATTTTGTACTTGCTGAAGCTTGTTAATAGAGAATGCTGGGCAACCAGTGAACAGATCATTACAGTAATCCAGCCTTGAAGTCAGAAAAGCATAGACTAGCCTTTCTACATCTGAGATGGATAGCATACTTCCTAACTTATTTCTTAGATGAAAGAAGGCGGTTTTTGTGACTTGGGATATATGATTTTCAAAAGATGAGTTGCTGTTTAATAGAACACCCAGATCTTTCATAGTAGAGCTAACGCTAACTTTGTATCCCTCTAATTGCTGGTCAAGTTGTGAGATAAGATGTGTACAGGATTTAGGCCCAATATAATTCTGTTTTGTCTGTAGGAGAAGAATTGTTGGTCATCCAATCTCTACCATATTTAATACTACAAGTTAGCTTAGACAGTTCAAACATCATTTTTCTTTGGCTCAGTGCCTTTATTCATCAGAGGTCGTCACAGCAGAATGAACCCCTTATCCAGCTTATGTTTTACATAGTGGATGCTCTTCCAGCTGCTTTTTCGTTTTTTTTTTTTTTTTTTGCTCAGAAATTTATATTTTTTAGAATGTTGCTAGGCAGGAACTGGAGAAAATCAGATTCTCCCTAAAAAAAGAAAGAAGACAAATTCTATCAAATCTGGCAACCTTTCATAGATTATTTAAAAGACATAAATTCTACAGGCAATTTAAATTGAAGAGGCTCAGACTAATTTAGATTAAAACTGATGGTCAGTATTTTGTTTCCACTTGATTTATTAGATTTTTTCGTTTGTATTTCTTATTCTGTTATTATTATTGACTTATTTTATTTATGTATTATTAATTTACTTTCATATGTATTGTTTGAGCAAAATTGCCTCACAGC